GGGCGCAGCACCCACGGCCAATATATGAGAAAGGTACTCAGTCTGGCGGTACAAACTGCTTTCGTGACTGCGCCCTAGTTACCCCCCCCCCCCCAAAAAAAAAAAAAAGATCAATTGCTGCCTACCTCTAGTTTGGAAAAGCGCCGAAGCGCACTAAGCCGGACAGCGTTGCGCTTAGACGATTAGGGTTCCAAACGGAGCGCGGCCGCCATATCCTGGAGCACATAGCACGGGAAGGGCGGTTTCTCGAGCAGCAACCGCGAGTTCCAATCAATGAACTCGGTTGTACGCGAAGAGCGGGTTTGTCCCCAGGGCGGAAAGAGGGGGGCGATAGGGGGAAGAAGCAACAACATTGAATCTATCCGAACATTCTGAACCGAAGAACGCGACAAGGTCTCGTCGCGTCCTTCCTATGGAACATTAAGGACGAATCTGTGTCCTATACACGCGGGACACGGGGTTGCGCTTCATAGGAAACAACAACAAGGCGGAGTGACAGTCGGAATAGGCATCGCGGCCGACAAGGAGCAGTGGAGCGATTCTTCAGTCGGGGCCGGACAACCGGTATTGTATCGAGATATTACATATGTATATTTTGGCTCACTATTCACCCAGAATTGTTTCCTGTTTCAGCAAGCCTCTAACAGTCTGATTCTCTCATTCTTACTAATTTTGCATGGCGACACAGCGCGAAATACTATCCTATTATAGGTAAAGAAGACGATTGGTACAGGAAAAGCAAGCCTTACCGTTTTTCTTTTCTTTTTGTTTTTTTTGGAAGAATCGCAACGGGTGTAGAAAAGACCATGGGCTCCCGAGGGGGAACGAATACACCATGGACTGTTGAATCCCACATCATTTCAAGCCCGGTTCCTCATGCGTGGAACAGAGGCTCTGACACAAAGGGGGCCCAGAGAGTCCCTGGAAAAGGGGGGGCCACGCGGAGGAAAGGCCGATTAGAATTATCGGGACATGGAAATCGGCGGTGGGACAAGAGATTAGGGTTCAGTAGGTAGGTCTGCGATCCTTGGATATCCGTCAAGGAGGATATAGAGGAATAATCGTTAAAATGAGCTGATTCTAGACATGCGCAGGGGGAAAAGGTAAACAGGAACCTTTCGCCTAACCCTAAAGGACGAGCGGTGAAAAAAAGAAAAAAGGGGCACATAGCAACAGGCAGTTCTTCGGTATGAACACGTCATAGACGTAGGACAGTGTCGTACTAAACTGGACGGACCAGTGTCGTTGGCAATAGTAGTTCGCAGCTCGAACGACAATGATTTCAGGGAGGAATAGCACTTGGTCGGATATTTTCTCATCTTGGGTTTCACACCTGGGCTTTTCCTGTTTTTCAATAATCGTTTGGTCATTCACGCTCTCGCCGCCTTTGCTGGTTTCATGGGTAATACTCGAATATGACACCGCAGCTCGAACGGCATCAAGTCTAGAGACGAACAACACTTGGCTGGATAGTCCACTAAAACCACCGTCCCACAAGCAGGGTCTCAGGATCCCTACTACACGATTGATTGTTCCCTTCACCGCTCCTTTTGTCCATTATTGCCTTGCTGACTGGCTAGACTACGAGTTATTACGCTGCGAGAGGAACACAGCTGCCTCCGATAAAACAGACTGTCGACACCTTGTAGCTTAGATAATCTGAATACAATCGATAACGCTGGTTTGTGTCGCTTAGAGGGCTTGCTTAGCACAGCCTAGCTTAGCAGGCAGCGCCTCGCAGGATAGACGCCGGCATCATCGATGAGTAAAGACCAGGTCAGTCACGAGATGATTCTCTCAGACAACCCATTCGAAAGCGTAGGAGATGCCGGAGGGACAGGTATCAAGCCAGTGGATAAGAAGGCCTCCGGAAAAGAAGGACCAGCCTCCCTGAAATGGGAATCCTTCACACCATTCTGGAATAAAGGAGGGATGGCAGGGGCTTCTTCTACTTCGTTCACAGCGCCCAATCTGAAGATTGGGGCGCTGAACGATGTGCAGATGAAAGAAACAAATCAGAGGACAATTTTTAAACAGTCGAACCCTGTCCCGCAGAAGGGGGTTAATGCCCCACAAGAGGTAACACGTTTGAACAACGGGGCTTTGAGGGGCAACACCCCATTCGCCTTTAGAGCAGGCAGGAACACAACCGAGAACA